TTTAAGTAGACTCTACCTTGCAATGATCTGGATGAGTCCATTATGGTCTACAGTGGTGAAAGGGTTAAGCTACCGAAACTTTGATACAACTCAATCCTCTTGTGGAGTTACACAACAAGAAAACTCTTCATCTCAATTACATTAACTCTGTCTTCTTCAGTAACCCTCGCAGCCATTTCTCCCTCCCTATAATCATCAAAGGTCATATTAAGGGTCATATGTGAAAGGTTATAAGGTTGTAGGTCCTTTATGACAAGGTCACATGGTTAACAGTGGCAAGTGATAAAAAGGTCAGCATAGACCTTTTAATTGTCGAAGTATCTGAAACTTGTAACCTTTAATTGTGGCAACGAAAACTATTAGAACATTAACTCATTGACCCCTGAAGACACATTTGAACTCTTCCAATTCAAAGGTTGGAATAGTTCATTATGAAATTTCAGGGGTGAATGAGATAAGTTTAAAGATTAAATCATTCATTGATTGATAATGAAATGGACTGAATAGGCTCCGACACTCCTTGAAGTTTATTTCGGTGTTGACTTGTTCATTTCTTTTATTTAATTGTGAAATTTCAGACATTTTGTAATAAAAGTTAACAAAAACAACTTGTTTACATAATTATTAGAGCATATAGTTCTTGTCTATTGGAAAGATAAATAATTTGTTTACAATATGTGTGGTAATTGTGTATACCTGATACCATCTTTTATATCTGTATTTATTATTACATGTTAGCTTAGCTATGGGGATGATTCACTTTTCACAGAACACAGCCTCCAGGTCGACTCTTAAGTGATTTTCGTCAGTTAAAGTATAGAGGAATATTTTCCTATTATGTTTTTGCAGTTACGTGACATTTTTGTGTGTGATTGAGTCACTAGCTCTGTGTGTTTAATAGCAGATTGTCAATAAACACAACACTGTGTGTGAAATAGGGGGGGATGCAAGGACTTAAAAGTGATATTCTGTCCAAAAGATTAACATAGAGGAGACCCATTTACACAAGCAATTTGCCAATTTATGAATCTCATTTGCATATATACTATACAAACAATCGTCATTTTGAAAAACATGTTGTTTTCATACTTCATCAAATCATTGCATGTAAAATAAGTCAAGCTCACAAGTTATAAATGCACACATGACATTTAAGGAGGCCGGTAGTCTAGTGGTAGGACGCCGGGCTCCTGACCGAAGGGTTGCTGGTTCGAGTCACGTTGCGGCACTGTGTTGTATATTTGAGCAAGATACTTTGCTCTGCTTGTTCCAGTCTACTCAGCTATAAATGAGTATGTGGTTGGGCAGTGCTAGAATTGTTGAATGCTAGATGTGAGCCCCGAAATGGCAGCTCTGGCTGTATGCTCCCCAGGGAGTTGAGAACGATATTGCTGGTTGCAAAGGCCCTATAACCACGGATAATAATTTGTGAACCACTTTGAGACGACCTACGAACTAGGTTGTGATAAAGCGGTATATAAGAACCTCAAATTATCATGATTATATTTGTCTGCTGGATAACCGAACTATTCGGTAGTGAAGGAGCCGTAAAACCTATCAATCAATCAATCAATCATTATTATTACTATTATGACATAATATTTACGCATTTTCTCGATTCACAACAAATGTCAACAGATGGAATAAATAATTATATAGCAAATAAATTCACCATTTATTTGTCTAATAACAACAGACTTGTTGAAATGGAGATTGTTTTGTACATCTTCAAAGAAGTTTTGATATTTGCCTGACATCAATTCCAGGGTTTGTTTTGCCAATTCTGTCAGGCATGGTTATGAGGGGGTGTCTGGCATCAGTGGTGTGTTAGACTGATGCTGCCGTGGTCAGTGATGGGGTGTCTAATATTGATGGTGTTAGTTGTAGTAGCTATATCAGTATTTGTTCTAGACAGAGCTGATCAGATGGCATGTGTGAAGTGTATGATTTAATTATCACTTGCCAGGCGACCATATTGATGTTAGGGGGGCCATAATCTGCTTTTAGTGAGACCTCTGGAATGAGCCAATCATTATGGTATTCAGAGTCAGGAAAATTGGGCAGGGAGAGGAGCCAGAGGGTTCCTGCATAATTAATTGTGGTTTAGCTGTTTTAAGCATAATTATAAGGAGTAAATACAGGCTAAAAATAAACTGGATGACCTTTGGACTGAACTGTTCTGTGAACTTTTGGAAATAGAGGCATTGAGAAGGATATATTTGACACTTCAAAAATAGTATATATTTAGTGCAGAAAATTTCACTGACATGTCCCCAAAGATGAACCTTTCAAGACTGCTCCCCAGAACAGAACCATACACTGACTACTCCCCAGAACAGAACCATACACTGACTACTCCCTGAAACAGAACCTTTCACTGACTACTCCCTGGAACAGAACCTTTCACTGGCTACTCCCTGGAACAGAACCTTTCACTGACTACTCCCTGGAACAGAACCTTTCATTGACTACTCTCTGGAATAGAACCTTTCACTGACTACTCCCTGGAACAGAACCTTTCACTGACTACTCCCTGGAACAGAACCTTCCACTGACTACTCCCTGGAAGAGAACCTTTCACTGACTACTCCCTGGAATAGAACCTTTCACTGACTACTCCCTGGAACAGAACCTTTCACTGACTGCTCCCTGGAACAGAACCTTTCACTGACTACTCCCTGTAACAGAACCTTTCACTGACACTCCCCAGAACAGAACCTTTCACTGACTACTCCCCGGAACAGAACCTTTCACTGACTACTCCCTGGAACAGAACCTTTCACTGTCAGTTCTCTTTAAGTGTCCAGACCATAATATAAACTTCTGATGCAGTCTCCAATTTCCTTCACCCCTTCCTTTACTTCTCTTCCTATTTTTCCTGTGTTGATTCCACAACTGGTCCTTTGCCTTTTCCTTCACCTCGTCCTCTATACCATCTTTTTCTTCCCTTCTTTGTCCTTCTGGTAGTCTTTTATCTTCCCTTTCTCTTTCATCTTTTCTTTCTTTACTGCTTTCTTTATCTCCTATTCTTCCTTCTCATTGTCCTTATCTTCCCTTTCTCTTTTATCTATTTTTCTTGTATGGCTTTATTTACCTGCACCTGCTGCTGCTGCTGCTCCTTCTCCTCCTCCTCCTCCTCCTCCTCCACCTCCTCCTTCTCCTCCTCCTCTCTTTCTTCCTTTTTATCATACAGACCTCAACAAATCATCAATCAATATTCAATTCAGGATTATTGTTGTGATCATAATCAAATTGTCGTCATCATCATCATGAATATAAAACCTTTAGATATCCCAGGTAACATTCACTTGAATCAAGGCTTGCTGCATTGAGAAATGACTTACTGTATATTAGCTAAGTGATTGATGGTATAATTTAGCTTTACTTAACTCATTCACCCCTGAACTTTCACAATGAACTATTCCAACCTTTGAATTGGAAGAGTTCAAATGTGTCTTCAGGGGTGAATGAGTTAATAGCTCTCTGTATAACAAATAACACTGACATACACTCCTAATAAACGTGACAAAACATCAAAGCAGGAAAAAACATCTAGGTGCAGTTTTTGCTTTCAGTAACAAACTTATTGTCACCAAGGTGCTAGTTATTTGATTTGTCGATGCATTTTGTAAATATTTAGAATTCCTTGTGTGATTGTGTTTGGGGAGTGCGGAACTGACACCCAATGAACAGAGACTGATGTTAGTAATTGGTCTGGTCTAAAACCAAAAAGGGGAGTGTGTGATCTAATGAGCACCGCTAATACATTATGGTTTAATTACTATTGGAGAGCTGATAGCAGGTATATCTACTGGAGTCTGTGCTGCCCAGGAAGGGTTCAGAGGATTTTCCTGAATTGATCACCACCCCATCCACAGTAATCCTATCACCTGTCAGTTTACTGTCAAATAGCAAATACTTTATATGTCTTCATAAAGTCACACCCCCCCCCAACACAAGATCTCAAATTAATCGATTTTTCAGAGAGTATGCCAAAAGGGGGGTTGGGGGTTGGGATAATACATTTTGGAGTGGTATTTCATTTTAATAATATAACTAAGACATTACTTCTAGAAAAAGCTTCCTTTTGTAGAAAAAAATATCCTATTCTTATATAAGATAGCTATAGATCATAAAAGACATTTTTTTTCATCAAAAGTCAAAATCATTAACCATCCTATTCTATTTTCAGAGTTTTTTTCTAGTTACAGTTGTATTATTTGTGGGAAGTTTGGCAAGATATTAAACATTGAACCACTTGATGAACGATTAACTGTCAAAGTTAGTCGGATCAATTACTTTTGGTTCATAGTCCCAGTGGTTAATTAACTTAGGGTTTTCTAACTTTACACTAATTGTTGATCCAGAACGTAAAATCTGGATACTTGAATTATGAAACATTAGAAATCAATGAAGTTAGTGATGTGGTTTGAAAATTAACTTTAATTAAATAATGACCTGACGAATGCTTTTGAAATATTATTACATTTTTCCCCCAGTATGGTATTTTAAGTAGATTCTGTCTCATAAATCATGTAGGCTTATCCCAAATATTTACAGGTCAGAAGGAAGTATAAAATTATGTTGGCTTATAGTACATGTTAAATCAGTACTAATAAGAATCAAGCAAGACAAATTTACGGGTGTTTCTTAGGAATAAAATGGAGAGTGGGTTTGTGTTAGGGGGAAGCAAAGAGTTTAATGAATGTTTTTAATTCTTGTTTTTGATTTGTGGATACCCCGTAGGAGCCCCTGGGGAGGAAAACTTGATAATCACCACCCTGCCTGAACCCAACAGGGTAAAAAGAATGATAATTTGCCATGCTTGACATTCTCTGGTCTGTAGCGGAGGGAATCTCTACACACTACAGTATAACACCAATACACACGCTTCAGTCAGCACTGGTCCCTACTGATACTCTGCTGCTTACCTGGTGTTGTCGCACAGGTGTGTCTATTGTAGCTCGGTACTAATCTACCTGTGTACTCTCTCGTTATAGGGACAGGTATTTACTGATTGCCAACAACCTGGGAAGGTTATTATGATAAAAACGTGGAGTTAAGATGGAAGATGTGGTATTTCGGCCGTTTGGATTTACGCAAACAGACAGCTAGTGTTTTGTGATCATCACAACTGACGAGATATATACAGGTGATTCATCTCTCTCCTGACACCAGGTATGTTATACCTTACACACGATAAACTTACTTGGTAATAGTACTCTACAGTGATACGTTAAAATGTTCTGTTTTTGAATTTGTTCAATTCTGTACATTTTTACCATGTGGCAATTATCTATTCCTATAAACTTGATTTGGATATCAGTTCTTAACGACTTGATACATCAGATGCATGTATTTATACGGTTAGGTCAAACCTCACAAGTTTTTACCTGTTTTGAATTTAACAATGATCGGCCACTGATGAAAGTTTGGATTTTATGAGATGTTGGCACATGTTTAGATGTTTGTTTACATGAATATTTGATGCAATGCCACACTCTTGATCAAGGACAGATGCCAGGTTGTGGTGTTTTGTGTTACACCATGTTGTTCGTAGTAAATACAACGTACAGGGGTACGGGGCGAAATTTCAGCTGTTATTTACCTGTGAATGTGTTAGTGTTGGCCTGTTACCTGGTCGTTTTTACCTGAACCTCCATTTTAGCGTGGAAGCGATTCTGACCTAGAAGTTTTGTATACCTGCGGGGTACCTTTAATAGTGTATGTTAGCTATAGCCCAACAGAAGGAAGTACAGCCCATAGACTTTGAGCTGAGATTATCCACAATCTAGGTCCTACAAATAATAGATTGATGTTACAAAGTTCAGTGTCATCAAGCCAGTATTGTTAATGGTATACGTGTTATCCATTTGTGCTTATATTAAAAGTTGTAGAAGTGTGATGTAAGTTTGTTATTTCATAACGAAAGCTTCTATTTTCCCTTGTGGTCATTTGTGTGAAAACTTACTTGCTTAAACAATGCAAAATTCAGAATCCTCATTTTATTTACCAGAGAAGTCAAATTAAAATATTTAAAATCAAATGCTGTATTAAGAAATTTTGCAAAAAACAAGATATTTGTTTTGTGACTTTTAATAGAAAATTGTCACTTGTTTTTGAAAAGGAAAGTTTGTTCAATAATGCTCTAGTCCACACACCTGTACAAATATGTAGGGCAGTACAAGTATGATGGACCAGAAAGCCAATGACTTAACCCATTCACCCCTAAAGTCACATTGGAACCTTACCAAATCGAAGACTGGGCAAGTCCAGTTTAAAAATGCAGGGGTGAATGAGTTGACTAATCTGAAACAATAAATATGTCATTAATGTAGATACATATAGTTTATACATCATCTTTCTATGTGGAATTCACAGGTTGCAATTTTACATAGAAATGTATAGTGGCACCTAGTAAGAATATCTGATTTATACAGTTTTTCAGATTACACAGGTTCAGTTTACATAGAAAGGTTGTACAATGTACCTCAGTAGGAATAGAAAGGTTTGATTTAGACAGGTTGTATGTGCCAGTGTTTGCAGTATGTATGATTCCTAACGCGACTGCTGGGGATCTAGCTAGGTTACAGTGGTGTGACGACCACATTACCTGCGATGTTTATGTGTGACATGACACGGTGTTACATTTTTGTATTCATGTTCGGCATTATCCATATGTGTCACTGTCACTCCAGATGATGGCTTTATAACGGTGAACATCAACCGAAAATAGAAAATGATAAATTTCACGCATAAAGTATAGTGGTAATTATCTATGTTAAACACTAAAACCGAAGCCCTGTCAGCCCTTGTGTGACGCCTAGCAGAAATGTATTGTCATCATGTAGCAGAGGATAACACAACATTTTAACATAGTTCATCTTAATATATATATTATTTATAACTGATGTGCCCCATTTATTCTTCCCGTAATAAAATGCATGCATATATAAGTTTTTGTTGATATCAGGATATGTATATTTTAATATTGTATAGCTAGCTGTCTAAACCAAACACCAATAGAGTGGCAAATTTATTGTGGACAGTTTACAAGTTTTGGGTTGTATACAATGTATAGATTGATAGACCCAGATTGGGGGCCAACTGTTTTCCTCCCTCTCTAGGCAGATCTATTTTGTGGTTTTCATTGTATGATGTTTCCCAGCGTTTTTTCTGTCCACTTTCACCTGTATATATAAGGTGTGGTGTGAAATTTCTGAGTCCTCTTGTTCTCAAACTTGAGGCACTAGTCCAGAAGAGACCGTAGATGCAGTTATAAAATATAAACTTTATTTATTTAATAATAATACTGAAACAAGTTATTTCAAATTATATTATCTTCTCTTGTTTGCCCAGATGTTAGGATGAGGGGGTCTTAATGTGGGAGGAAACCGGAGAAAACCTACTTGGTCGGGCACCTGGTGACCCCGTACCTTTTCATATCTGATTGGGGAATCAAACCCCCCCCCGACCGCCTTTGTGAAAGGCAAGTGCGCTATCCACTGCGCCACCACCTGACCACCCATTACTGACCAGGGGTAGATGCAGTTAATCTTACTTGCTGAGTAATGTTTTTGAACGACAGCTATAATTGTTTGGCCTCTATATTCTGATCTGCAATCTCAATCATACAGGTTACAAACTATATAGGTTTTCAGATTATGAAGGTTCTATTTACCTAAGTTACACTGTACATAGAAGGAGGAAGTGAATTTAACCTTTTCCTCCAGTGATCTGCAACAAGGATCTTTTGAACTTTATAATCATCTGTTGAACTTCTGTACATGTGATGCAACTAGGACAAATCCAATTGGTCTTCAAAAGTTTAGTTGGCATGAAGTCTGAGTACTCTACAGCTATGAGACCTTGTCGAAGGACTAGTATTCTTCAAATACTCTCTAAATGAAGGATGTTGACTATTATCAGGTAGACTTGCTCAAGTTTTTTGTTAAAATTTGTTGGTAAAAAAATATTATTGTCAGACATTGTTTATCTAATTGTCACAGAATTCTTCAGAAATTTTGAAGTAGGTTTGCTCAAATTTCTTTTCTTTTTTTTACTTGTCTGACTTAATTGATCAAACTATAGGAGTTTGGTTGTCTAAGTTTTTATGGTATTCATTTAATTTCTGGAAATACTGAACTTTTAATTTGGTGGGATCCAGTGTTTTTAACCCATTCATATTTTAACCTTACCAAATCAAAGGCTAGGCAAATCCACTTTATAAATGTAGGGGTGAATGGGTTAAAGATAGAGTGGAAAAGGGCCAACCAAACTAATGTCAGATTGATCATGACTGCAAGTGTAGGTTGTACAACAGCCTCCCCTGTCTCTGGCACCCCAGGAAAAGCTGATGAATGTTACAGCCTGCCTGGTAGTGGGTATAGGGACAGAGTGTTTATGTACACCCTATAATACATAAACAGTACATAGACAGGGCCTCAAATCTACACAAACATCAGCTGTTTGTTGAGCTGGACATGGGCGGGTCATTTTGTGTACATGTACTGTAATCCCCAACGCTGAGATGGGTAATGAGGATACATGGCCCCACCCTCCCCTCCAATTAATATTAACTCAATAATGGGAGAACTAGACCCCGGCACTCCCTCGCAATTCCAAATAATGGGAGTACATTCACACCCTCTTAAGTATCATATATACATACTCCATCTTTTGTTTGATACTATACTGGCCTTGCACTTTCCGGTCTCCTCAAAAATATCTTTGGTGGTATACAAATAATGATATATATCCTCTCCCCGATCACTCAACCAGTCCTGTACTCAACCCTTCCCCAATATATTCTATGCTCTATGCTCTTTTGTACTAATCAAACTGGCTTCCTTCAATACCTCCTCCCCCCCCCNCCAAGTCCTGCTGGACCCATTAACATCTCAAATCTCCAACAGCTGAAGCAGCATCCTTTCCTTTCCCTCGTGTTTTTATCGTTAAGACACATTTATCATGAGGCGTTAGTCTTGTGGCATATAACAAATATTTTATCATTGATTTTACAAAGAAAGTTCACCCAGAAAGTGATTTTTCTTAAAGGTCATGAATATGTCTTACAAGAAATTAATCATTTCTTATCTATTGTAAGATTTTCAGCCTTTCATCTTTACAAAAACAATATCCACTTATATCTGAGTGATTTTTGAACACTAGCTGACATGGCCACATATAGATTTGTTATTAAGTGCTTTAGATGACTACAAGTATCAGAAACCAGGACTCATATTCATGAAGCCATTCTCATGCTCAAGCACGGATTTTGTGCTCAAGCCTAATTTCTTGTTCTGGTTATAACTCAATAAATAAATCTTATTTTGTCATTGATTTGGAAACATTTTGAAGAGACTTATAGCCGAATACTGTTTTCAATGTTTACATTTGACATTTTGATTGTTTGACATGATCTAAGCGACTTACCAGAAAGTTGGTTTGAGCACAGATTCCATGCTTGAGCATTAGAACGGTTTCATGAATACGGGCCCAGATTAATGTCATATCTGGTTGCTAAACATTCCTTAACTAATAACATTAAACCCCATTACCCGAACACATGATGTAATTCTGATGTAAATATCATGTAAATATTCCATAGCTATATGAACGTAAAACTGATTGTCCTAACAATACTTTGTTGTATCTGGTCAGTAAACACAGCATGGTTATAAACATCAAACTTGTCCTTACATAATGCTTTGTCTGCAAACGTTCCATAGCTTTGCCATATCTGGTCCTTACATAATGCTTTGTCTGCAAACTTTCCATAGCTTTGCCATATCTGGTCCTTAATAATGCTTTGTCTGCAAACGTTCCATAGCTTTGCCATATCTGGCCCTTACATAATGCTTTGTCTGCAAACGTTCCATAGCTCTGCCATATCTGGTCCTTACATAATGCTTTGTCTGCAAACGTTCCATAGCTTTGCCATATTGGGTCCTTACATAATGCTTTGTCTGCAAACGTTCCAAATCTTTGTCATTTCTGGTCAGTAAAATTGTTTTTAATCAAATATTTCTAACATAAGTTTATAGATCTAAATCCTATTTGTAACTAACATCAATGTCCCTTTTTAAATCACACTTTATTAGTGTATATCCTGTCAATGTTTACGTTTTGCTATATTAGCATATATGTATATTTCACTGTAATGGTGCTTTAACCCT